ACCCAAGAAGAAAAGAAGTTGATGTTTCCCAGCTTGTTTTGGGTTTCTTGGAGATGAATCAGAGCCAGTGTATGGGGTTTCGGGTACTACTGCTAAAACCGTTGTTGTTGCTTCTACTATTGTTACTATTATTGCTTAGAGCTGCTAATACCGCTATTGATGCTCTCACTGCTTGATGCAATTAGAGTGTTTCTTCTATTTAGGGGATTGAAATTTAGGTTTGGGATTATTTTGGGTTTTGGGTTTTTGGTTTACTTTTAGGGTATTTGTGTCTTTTTTAGTTATAGAGAATTGAGGGGCAAAATTGGAATTTAATTTTTTTAAATATGAAGGGGGTTTAATACTACTAAGTGTTTGTTAGGGAACAAGTTAGGTTTTCAGATTTTTTTCTATAAACATGCAACTGGACACGAAAAGGAATAGAGAAGAGATGGATATTTGATTTTGGGTCATGTGAAAAGATTTTTGGGATGGACTCCCTTGCACACCATGAGAGAGAATATACTCACTCACCTTTTATTTTTCTAGTTTGTTTCGTTTTCTTCTCCCTTTCCCTACATCAATTGGTATCAGAAGTTAGCAGATTCAATTATAATGGCACCAAAACCCGCTCTTGCAATCGAGGATATATTGCCATAAATAATGGAAGCGAAATAAATCAGCAATTCAATGATTAGAAAATACGTCACCGAAAAGAGAGTGCTCACAATATCATAAATTCGGTACCAAATCACATCTTATGGATGAATCGAGCTCCATGATCGACTTTGGATGCCAATCCAATATGTAATGAGTAAATTTTTAGGTAAGAACCACGACATGAGGAATGTGAACGTGATTACCTATCAAAGTTGATCTTCCCAAGTTTCATGAGGAGTACAAAAGAGAAACCAAAATTATGCTCGACATCCCAAAGTTCCACACTTCCACCACAAGTTGCATATAAAGTATTTGACTAATTGTTCACTAAGAAGACAAAGTACCCCGACAAATGTTGGGACTTCATCAATAACTATTCAAATGGCCTTTGAAAGATGTAATACACAACAACCCAAAATCAAATATCCTTCTCTTCTCTACTATTTTTCTTGTCGAGTTGTATATTTCTAGAAGAAAGAAAAACCCTAAAATCTAATTTATTCCCAAACAAACCCCAATTAATATCAAATCCTAACCCTTCTTCTTTTAAAAATTAAACTTTCAATTACCCCTCAATTCCTTACAACTAAAAAATGAAACAAATTCCTAAAAGAAACTAGAAACCCAAATCTAAATTTCAATCTCATAAAAAAATTAAATAAAGAGTTAAAAAAAACCTAATTGCATCATTTTCCCATGGTTAGGGAGAAGCTCGACCTTGAGCTTGTTGTGTGCAATATGTCCTTAAAAGGACATTTGAAGAGTTCGTGAAGAAGTCCCACTATTCACCTAAGTACTTTGTTTCCTTCTATGAAGCAATTAATCAAACACTTTATGCGCAACTTGTAGTAGAACTTTAGGATGCCAAACATGACTTAGATTTGTCTTTTGTGCTCCTCATGAAACTCGAGAAGATTAACTTTAATATTGTAATCACGTGCAAATTTCTTATATAGTGGTTCTTGCATCAAAATTTGCTCATTACATATAGGATTGACGATCAGAATCAATCACGAAGCTTGATTCATCCATAAGGTAAGATTTGATACCGAATCTACGATATTGCAAACACCCTCTTCTTGGTGATGTATATTTTCTGTGTTGCAGCCACTGATTTATTTCACTTCCCTTTGAATATCGTCCATGGCTTGATTCATCATCATCCAAGCCTTATCCCAATTTGTTGCTTCAACCCTCCATAATTTGTGGCAATATATCATCAATTTTAAGAGTGGGTTTTGGTGCCAATGTAATTGGTTCTTCCAAAGCTCTAATACCAAATAATGTAGGTAAAAAGGGAAATAAAATAAAACAATCCATAAAAATGAAAGATAAAAAATAAGGGTGAGAGAATATACCCTCTCTCATGTTGTGCGAAGGAGTCCATCCCAAAAGATCCTTTCACAAGACCCAAAATCAAATATCATTCTTTTTGTTAAGCTTTTCGTTGTCCATTTATATATTTATAGAAGAACACTAGAAAACCTAACTTATTCCCAGAGAAACCCTGAGTAATATTAAATCCCAACCCTTCATCTTTTAAAAGTTAAACTTTCTATTCTACCCCTCCATTCTCTACAACTAAAAACGACAAAAATACCCTAGAAGAGAACCGAAAACCCAAAATAATCCTAAACCTAAATTTCTAACTCCAAAAAAAAATAAATAAAGAAATTTGCATCACTGCTGCTACTAATGCTGTTGCTGCTATTGCTACTATTACTGCTGTCATTGCTACTACTACTGCTTCTATTGCTACTACTATTACTACTCTACTGCTACTACTACTCTACTGCTACTGTTACTGTTGCTATTTCTACTGCTGCTGCTACTGTTGCGGCTGCTGCTGCTACTGCTACTACTAATGCTGCTACTGCTACTAGTACTATTGCTCCTGCTCGTCCTAGTGCTACTGTTGCTGCTCCTACTTGCTACTACTGTTGCAGCTACTAAGGCTGCTACTTCCATTGCTACTACTATAATACAACTACTGCTACTACCTAAAATTGCCACTACTGCTGCTACTATTAATATTGCTACAACTATAGTTGCTGCTAGTTGTTATTGCTACTATTACTACCGCATAATAACGCTACTAATGCTACTGATGTACTTGTAGTCGTAATAACGCTGCTACTACCGCTTCTACTGGTGGTGCTACTACTCCTACTTCTGCTACTGCTAGCCTACTACAACTGCTACTAGTGCTCCTATTACTACTACTAAAACTACTGTTGTGACTACTGCTATTGTTATACAGTAGTAGAATAGTAGCAATAATGATAAGAGTAGTAGTAGTAGCAGCTGGGAGAGGGAGATCATCACGTGCTAGAAACTACATAGCTTGGGAGTGGCATGGGAGTGCGTAGCATGAACATATACGCAATTGGGTAAAACATAATTTTAAAAATTACTTACAGAATATTAAAGTGAAATTTATCAAAATACACATGGGTAATGTTGTACCCATTTTTTATTTAATTTCAAAACACCCATCAAAATAGGTGTATTTTGGTAAATTTCCCAATACTAAATTATATCTAGATGCATATTATAAAACCAAAAAGAAAAAAGTTCCTAATCTATATCATCCTATTATTGAAAACTTACAGGGATTTAATATACTAATCATCACATTAACTTTATAAGCATGAATTTTCATTATTCTCAACTAAAATGCTTTAGTTTTGCAATTTTCTTAAGGAGAATGACTGTCCAATGGTAATCTCAAATTTACTTTAGTATGAAATACTAAGTTTTGGTTCATCTCTTTTGATAAGTTACCTTTAGAGTCATCCTTTTCTCAAGGCAACTTGCATATCTGTTTGCCCACCTTATGCATCTTTAAGCTTTCTGTAGAATATTTAGATCTTGTAGCTACATTTTTAAGCAAGTCAGGAATCTGTCAAAAACTCAAATTACCTTTAATGCATTCTTTCTTTCAATGTACTAACGCAATAACTATGACTAATGCAAATTACCTATTTTACAAGGCTACATTAAGTAAAGGCTCGTGATCCCATGTTAAAGGGGATCAAGATTAAATGGGACAGAGATCCCATAGTAAACGGGACCAAGATCCATTAGGAGCACATAAGTCTACCCATTCTCACATGTACCCTAGCTAAAGGTTCATAATCCCATGTTAAATGGGATAGAGTTCTCATATTAAATGAAACGGAGATCCCACGGAATCAGGAGCACTCTCCCAATGAGGATCTGCTCCAGGAATGTGGATATGTGTTCCCAAAGTGGGACCCTCCCATAGGAGAGCGCTCTCAGTACTATTAGTCGCTCTTAAACTAGGGGTCACCTTAGAAGTGGATAACAAGTCTTCTCTCACTGTCCATGGATAGATATGGAGGGTGGGTGATGGGTCAGAGTGCCACTGCTATACTTGTACCAAGCACAAAATATTTTCCCATAAAAATAAGATACGGGGCTTTTTTTTTTCTTTTTATAAGTAAGCATGAGATGTTAAGTCATCAGCCATGGCTTCTAGTTTTGAATTCAAAAGTTCTCTAGGACTTTCCCAACACTGAGAAAGGAGATTTAAACAAGACTCACTCAGACACATAAATCACCATAACAAATACACTAGCTTGGACTCCATTTAATTCGTGACATAGTCCATCATATTGTTAGATGGAAGCCTCATTATAGGGATTTTTGGCTGTAGACATGGCCGATATTGCCTATTCAACCAAGACATTCTTGAGTTCAAGTCTTGAACACAAGATACAACTTCATAGATACTATGTATACTTCAACAAAGTGGATTCCCTTTTAAGGGCCATCTCCCTACTATTTGTATTATGCTACAACAATGCAGGACACGCCAAACACGCATAAAACAACATAAAAGCCCATGTTATGTGTAATCCAACATTTATTCCTCAGTAGTTCTACTTCTAACAAGAAAAAAGATGTTTACAAGCACCAATCCAAACCAATATACAATTTCCAAGACCAAACCAGTATACCTGAGAAAAAATTGATACACTAGAAGTTTAGAAAAATGTAACAGCTGCAAGATCATTAAAATAAAGGAAAATTGTTTCATGCGGGCTGGACTGCATTTCTACAATATCCGGTCTAGAGGTATAAAGCATCCATCTTAAGGATGGATGCAAATAGGTGGTAACTAACCGTCCAAGTGTTTTCTTGATATAACTATTATTTCTGGTTTTTTAAATTTTTCTTTTCATATTCATAATCTCCATGTTAAAGATTAAATATTCTTTAAAAATTAGGTTCAAATTATATTTAAAAAATATATTTATTGCCAAGTCCGCATTTCTACAATATGTGGGCTGACCGCATAGAAACCGTGTCCTAAAATAAATACCTCAAAAATCATATGAAAAAAATCAAATAGGGATTATATCCAAGGCTCTTCATGTAAAACAGAACAACCGGAAGAAAAATAAAAACTGAAGTGCAAGTGTGACCACATGCACCTAGAATCAACAACCAAAACGCAAGTTAGAACTCAAACTACCCAGGTAGCACAAAAACATGTACAAATATTTAAGGATAGTTTATGCACAGCCAATACTTGAAATTAGAACGACATAGGAATAGGAGTGAGCTAAAGGTTCTAATCTACTTGCTAAGGCTCTATACACGTAAATAATTTACTCACATCTATTGTTCTAACAACAAATTTTCTGCTCGTGCACTGCTATCTGGAAACTGCCTGCCCATATCTTTAGATGGAAGATATAAACTATCCAGGAACTCACTCTTCCTCATCTAGTGCACCATCTTGCATTTTATCTACCTGCATGAGATAAGAAGCAGAAACAAGCATTTTTTTTACTTTAAATGTCGCATCACACCCTATCTCAACATTCTGAAGACACAAAGCAAACATGGTAATGTAAAACTGAAAAATAAAAACCCTTGAGGTAAAAAAAAAGGATATATGCTGGTTCATATAGTGGCATGAGGACTAACTACGCCTTTGTTAATATGAAAAGCGATATGTGTGTGTGTGTGCATACACACACAGTCAGACAAAAGTATCAAACAACCACCAATCAACCAAACATGGCCACAATCAAGGAGGATGTCATCAATTATCAATTTTCATCAAAAAAAAGGGACGAAAAAAGCACTGTTCCTGATATGTTGTAAGGAATTGCCATGCCATTACACGAAAACCAGCAAAGAAACTAAAACTTCAAGTAATGTTAGTCAAATAGATAAGTAGTATGGATTTGTCATTACAACACCATCAGATAGGGTTCTGTAGAAGGTGAGGGAGGTTCTACTGCTTTTCCCCGAATTTGACTTATGCCTCATATCATACTACATTTCATCAATTGCAACTTTTATATATAAAGAATTTGAGTATCTAAAACATACAATAAACAATGCCCCAAGGAAACAAAGAAAATACAATTTCAAATGCATAAGCCATGACATAAAGATGAAAACGCATAATAAAAGCAAAAATTCAGAAAGAAAGAAAAATGAAACAATCACCACCGCATCGAAATAGGAGAAAGAAACTAAGAAAGATAAAGAACTACCTCGGGGACAGGGCCTGGATTGGGCAAAACACAACCATGGGACTCAAACGTATCTTGTGCCACACTTGGAAGCCTATTTATATCCCAGTCCAAAAGCCTGCAAATCTGATCTGCATAAGCACGATGAGCTACTCTCTTCTTAGTCTTTTGAATGGAAACAGCATGTTGAACAAGAGCAACACAATCTGGGAACTTCTTCAATGAATTACCTTTAACTGCACCACACACCAAACACAAAAAGTCCCCACCTTTCCAATTCCTCTCATAATATAGCTTCAACTCCAAATTATCACCCAAAAGCCTTGAAAAAGACTCTGAATATCTCTGTATTTCTAATTCTATATCCTCATCCTCATCTTCTTCTTCGACCTCCTCTTCCTCGTCTTCTTCTTCGACCTCCTCTTCTTTTGAATGGTTGTTAGAAGAGCAGGCCTTATCAGAGGTAACAATTTCTTGCCAAGATTTCAGGCACCTTTTCTGCATTTGAATTGCCAAAACCCTAGACATTTCTTCATCAGAAAGAAGTTTTGGCTCTTTGGCAACATGTCCCTGATCCAAAGAACTCCAATCGACTTCATGCCATGGGCGAGGCTCGGAAGGTGGTTTAGGAGGGGGTTCAAAGACCCACTCCTTGTTAGAATTCTGGACATGAAAGAAAGTCTGAGGCCCTGAGTCGGATGGCTTTTTCTCCTCCAACGAACGCGCCCCCTTCTTTTGCTTCTTCCTGCGCGTCCTCTTCAAGGGGGAGACATTAATGGTGGAAAGAGAGTGCCTAGGGTTACGGTTAGGGTTGGGATTGGGACCTTGGTCCCATAGAGAGTGAAGATACAGGACCTCGTTTATCTGCAACTGCTCTAATTCCGGTTTGAGGGCTTGTACTGCTTGCCTCACTCTGTTCCTCTTTGTCATTGCTCTGTAGCTTACAAAAATTTGTAGATCTGGCATCTAAAAACATTCAAATCAATCATTTCTGCTCTAACCATTGAGGTTGTTGAAAAATATTATGATTTTAAGCTTTTAACACATTATCTAGCCTGTTCATTTCGCCCTAAAAATAGGTGTTCATGGATATGTAACATCTACATAGAGGCAACATGAAGATTGATTATAGAGGCATCATGACGATTTTTTTATTCTTAGACTACTTTTAAGACGAGAATTTCAGATGAGGCTTTATTTTGTTTCATAAAGCTTAAGTCTTATAAAAACTACATAAAAAAAAGTTGAAAAATATGCAAGGGTACCCATGTCCCTATGTGATGTTTTCCACATGCTTTGTACACACCAGTTGAGAAACCTAAAAAAACCATTCTAGATTTTCAAAAACCTAAACTTGGCATTCAAGTTGAGGGGCACCAAGCATGTTAGAGTCAGGATGGTTGGGGACCACATAACTTTCATGTGAGCACCCATTTTTTAATCCTTGCCTTAAAAGCAGCCCACCCACTCAGTTAAGACCAAGCTAGGTCCTATGTGGGTACCCAATCAAACCTAATCACATTTCAAAACTTTGTTAGTTAGGAACCCTATCAAACCTGCCTTATCTTAGAGACAGGTAAAAAATTTGAAGTCATTTTGTGTGGTGTACTATTGTTGGGTGTATTTTTAGTCGCACAAAGACTCAATACATTTCAAATAATGCTCAATAAAAATTAAGGTACTTGTGAGACAAGGGTTCTAATGCACGTCAGATAAATGACGGATAAGGTTGACGAACTTAGGAAGAACCAGAGAATGTGCTTCGGGTTAAGTACGCTTCCAGTTTTGATATGAGGCTAAGTGTATTCCAACCAACGCTTGACAAAGATATCGACATGCAAAATGTTGAACTGATGCTTGATGAAGGGATCAATGTAAAGTTCGACAGACTTAGCCTTTGAAAATATATCTTGGATGATAAACATGTTTCTTAATCCTCATATGAGACTAAGTGCTTTCTAACGAATGGTTGATAGCCATTTTAACAGACAGTCGATAAGATACGAGCACAGTTATTGATAACACCTGCTCATATATCCCTCATAATATGAAGATATGATAGGAAATATATGATATGATCAAGATTTATCATAGGAAGACCTCAATATGCCTTCAAAACCTTGACTCATCAATCAACCTCTATATGTTATGACTCATGACTGATTAAATATATGATTATTCATCGGTTAAATATGTTCAAGTTTAACTTACGGTTGATGATAGAAGATATGAATGCCATCTTATTATGAGACAAGTTTCAGGATACATATACTTCTAAGGCCCGATATGCTTATCCATGTGATATGTGGAGGACCGTGATGTGGTTTGATATACATATGTTCTTGAATCCATCACTAGCTACGCATGTGCATTGTAACTGAAATCTATAATAAGATATGATGAAGACGTTTCAATTTGAGACAAAATTCTGGGATACATATTCTCTCATGGCACATGGATGCCTCTCCATTAGATATTGGATGAGAGTTGGCTGAGATGTGATATGACTCTTTTAACCCATCGTCAATTAAGAATATGGGGTTTTAACGAACAGCGCATAAGGGAAACCTCTCCAGATTGTTTATTAAGGAAAACCCTTGAAGGTATACTTGTTGAGGCTCGATATGCCTTAAAATCCAATAATGATATAACTTGGGTAACCTATGTTCATATCCACTGTCAGTTAAGATATGTATTGCCTGACACCCCAGAAATTCATTTTTTGGGAATCGAGTCGAGACTCTCAGGGATTTATGTTTGGGGCATAATAGCCCTCACCCAGGAGTTTCGTATCGCCCAGAAGTTAATTAATTCATCATCTATATACCCCAGCTGTTAAAGGCTTAAGAGCTTTATGCTCCGTGCGTTATAGCCAGGACAACACTCGATCACTAAAGAGGAGATTTCTCTTTTGATATGAGGAATTTTCTCATGAGACTGGGACCGTTGGATTCCTAACTTGATGTTTTATTACCTTAAAAGGTGTAGTGTTGATTGATTTGTATAGCATAAGCAGTTGCATCCACAATTAACTGTTATTGCTGACCCAATTTCTAATAGTAACATAATACCTTGAATGAACCATATCTCCCTCGTCTGAAATCCATTTGAAGTGAGACTTAGAATATTGTATTCATTTCTGGGTCCTTTTTCAGGTCCCCAAATTTTGTGATCAAAGGATTAACCATTTGAAAGCGGTTGAAGAAGCATATAAACATGTCAAAAGTTGTGTCGCAGTGCTTAATTGCCAAACGATGTGAGATGGAAATAACATATTTCTTGATTTTACTAGTATACAGATTTTGTTGAAATCTGGTACCTGTGGATTCATAATTGAATAACATAAAGATAAGTGTTGAATAAAACAAATGATTATGATCAGGAGATGATCGTGCGTATGCAGATTTACTCAAATCATATGATTATCATTTGAAACATGAGATAAATATGGATGATTCGCAATTCCGTAATTTTGAGAAGAAGATAAGTTCAAAATGGAGATAAAGGGTGAAGACTAAAAGATCACAAAGGAATGATTATCAGTTAATTATGACTTATCAATATATGAAAAAGGATATAAACCCGTCTCGCCATAACTTATCACATTCTTTTTGAAGAGATTACTCCTAGCTTGCATCTTTGAGAAAGGAAAAATATTGTAAGGAGTAAGTTTACTTTGAGTTTAGTTCTACGAGAATTGAGAAGTGAGTTTCGGATATAGAGCGAAGAGGAGATAATCCCATAAATGACTGTACCTCGTGAGTGATTGATAGATAAAGAGAGAGAGAGAAAGAGAGAAGATTATTTCTTGGATCCACTTGAATCCCGTTCTCAAAGGCAAATTAGATTTGAGCATTAGTATCCCAGCATGCAATCATAGTTATACGAGCTAATATGCCTTTTTATAGTATTCTTTCTTTTAATGTGTTTGTGTATTTACTTCCTTAGAAATGAATATATAGGTTTCAAGGTCTGAATTAAGGGTATTTGACCTATTTCCTCTTCTTTGACTGATGTAAATTATAACAGAGGATTAAACCTCTTGAACTATTCCGTTCCCAATATATGATATATAAAAACCCATTTTTCTATGATATGGAATGCACGGGCGAATTTGACTGAGTGTAATGATCTTTGGTATTTGTTTGGAGTCTACTATTTGTTTAAACATCCTAATCAAATTTAAGCATCGCATTTTTGGAGCGTCCAGCTATAAGTCGTAGTCTATGAGATGCCTCTTAGTCAAATCAACACCACGACATCTAACAGAGAGTTGATTGCATCATGTAGGCCTACGACTACATATAGAAGCCTAGGGGCATATATTCCTATTGTTTACAGCCAAATCTGGGTCTGATATGTGATAGATCGGACACAAATATGCTTTAAACTTAGTTGATTAAGAAGATATGGGGCCTAGTCAAATTCTGATCCATAAATGATCAAATATCATACAGAGATCAGAACTTCTATATATTGTTGTTAGCGTTGGCTATGAATCTCATTGAAATCAAGATAAATCGGAAATAAAAAGTAATCCAAGGGAATAAAATGCATACAAGATATAAAATAGAATTTAAAATAAAAAAAATAAAAATACTAACCAACCATTAGACCGATTGGCTTGGCACTTGGAGTAGGATCCCTGATCAAAGAAAATTGATTGATTGAATCCTTTGATCCCTTATAATAATGCCTTCCTTGAAGTTGGAGGTTTTGAATATAAAAAGGAACCAAGGTTTAGACAATGAGATGAATGAATTAGGTTTTGAATTACTACAGTTAAGTCATGGCTCTGCAGAGAATTAGGGTTAGGGTTTCACTAGTCTCCTAGATTAGGGTTTATGACGGATTAGAGTTTTTAAGGTTCTAGAGTTATCTAGGGTTTGAAAATCTACTTAATGGCCTTCAATCCTAAGAGGATCAAAACATGCATATCTATAGGCAAAATGTACATAACTATTAGAAGGCGATTATTCTAAGCCAATCATGAGCTAGCATGTGCCTACACTGCACCTTGCGGTTCTAGATTTCTCATTCTTGTGTCACACTTTGTGACACAATAAGCTAGTTACGTTAGTGAAATGCATATTTTCTCAGGGTTTTGGTTCTAATGATATTTACTTGTCAATTTTGATCAAAATCATGTAGTTTGACAATCTCCAAAATATCTCCCATCCAATTCAATGGTCAACCTGCTTTTCTGGGTAATTTTTCCTAAGCTTGGGATTTAGAATATTTTGAGAATATTCTAGCTAGATTGTGGCCTAGGCTGACTAGGGATCACTGCAAACTATACTGTACTAATCTAATAAGGTCTCTAAGAGTTAAATGAATTATTCTTAGTTGTTTCATATGGTTAATGGATCATTGTTTTGGACCTCATGATCTAGGAATTCAAGGAAAAAGTCAATTTCAAACTGGATGTCAACATTTATGTTCATGAAAGTACCCTTAAGCTCATAAGTGGTCTTAGGCATACATGATTCTATAATTTATAGACCGGAACTTCATGTGGTTAGCCCTTTAGGATCTCATTGGACAACCCATAGCCATGAAGTTTTTGGCTGCTATAACCACCCTCAATAGCCAAGGATTAGGCTAGTAGCATTATTCCAGGATCTTGGTATTACTACCCAATCCAAAAGACAAAACAGTCGGGTAAATGAAGTCCATGCACGTTCCTACAACCCATCACAATACTCCGATCCGGGAAATTCTATAAACCAAGAAGCTCAAGTCCTGGCTAGTCAGGGCCTTGATGTGTCTAGAAACCCAAGTCAAGTGTCTAGTCATCATAGCACCACTCAAGACAATCCACATCCCTAGTTGAATGTCATTGGGAGGGAAGGCAACTAATGTACAAGCTTTCTTAAATGCTTAACTGATCAGGGTTATAGGGTTCAAGCTCTGACCCAACACCGAAGCCAAAGTTGATAACCTAGACTGACCTCTAAAACAACCTCATTAGGTTCCAAGCTGGTTGACCCCTACCATGCAACCTAACCATAGCTTGCTAGAGAACCCTTAGGTTAGTCTACCTACATAATTGAAAGTCATCAAACGTATGGGATGTTCAAATACATCAACTATAGGGTGAATCCCTCCAAGTCCCACCATTTAGGCATTTCCATCAGTCCATGGTTACTAACCAACTAGTTGGTAAAGTTGCCAGTGTACTGACATCCCATATGATGGCCCTCACAAATACTTTAGCAAAGATGGGGATCCATAATGCCTTGCCAC